AAATCAGTCAAATTATTTGAGCAAAACAATTTTTAAGTGGTTAAAATTGTTGCTAAAGTTTGAAAATAGCTTTTTTGGCTTTTTTGATCCACCCCTAGCACCATACTATGGAGAAAATTATACGGTTAAGTTGGCTGGCTGAAAAGTGACAACGAAAAACTCTTGTCCGGGTAATTTTGCTCATATTTCCTAGAAAGCTTTGGTCTAGCTTCAGGTCTACAAGTGCGCAATTTTCATTTTTGAAAGAACCGATAGACAACTCAAAAAGACCTACGCGTTTCTGATCGACGAAATGAGCGCCATCGATTTCACCCGGTACAACCACGTCGGCTACACGAGTCGAGACAATGCGCTCGCTGCTACGTGTCAAATATGGTTTGCCCAGTTTCGTTTTGGAGACAAATCTTTGAAAGATGCAGAGGGCTGTAGAGTTGCACTCGAACTGGATGACTCCAAATTACTTGAACTTATTACCAACGACCATCGGATGTCATCGCGTGAATTGGGATAAGTGTTAGGGGTCAATCCTGCTACAGTGCTAAGAGACCTTCGTACCCTTGAATTTAAATCGAAACTTGGGGCTTGGGTGCCCCATGACCTCACTGACCCCCAGAAGAGGCAGCGTCAGTGTCGATCAGTGTCGCCCATCTCTCACGATACGAAAGGAAATCTTTTCTTTCTCGAATTCTTTCTTTCTGGAATTCTTTCTTTCTGGAATACTTTCTTTCTGGAATTCTTTCTCGAATTCTTTCTTTCTCAATTCTTTCTCGAATTCTTTCTTTTTCTACTACAAAAGAGGAATCCGGAATTTGCCTATAAAATGGGCAAAAGTCTTGGAAATTATTTGGAATCAATTTATGATTTTATGTTGAATAAATTTGAGTTCAAAGTTCCACAGTTTTCAATTCACCAACCCAATTGCTAGATTCGCCAAAAATTGCGATCGCTTGGACGAACGAGGGCCATGAAGGAGAGAAGGGTTTCCGCGTCTCCGATCATCACTACGAGAAATTTCTTCGGGATAATAGAGAAAAAGTTGGACTTTGGCAAAAGCCTTAATGTACCTATTTCAGCTAAAAGATGCCTTTCTCATTGTGATGGGCGACCCTGGACAGAAAGGAAGCAAGGTTTGAAAAATATCGATGACCAAAAACGCTTTCTCGAATAGATAGGCGACACCGAGCAAGGACAAGTCGAAGATCTCACGCCACTGATGCTTTTCTCAATCCCACAAAAACTTCGGTAAAATGCATTTTTTGCATCTTTTGTTTGTGCATCTAGCCATTTAGCAACGTTAGATTCTACAGAACGTTCCGGCTAGCGGTTGAAATTCGGTAATTTGCTTTTTATCGTATACAGTCGTCAAAAAAAAGTCTTGGCCGGTCAATGTTCACTTCAAAAATAGTAGCGCTCACAAAAGAGATCACATCCAAATATATTGACCACAAATGTTAGATTGGCAACTGGAAAGTTGGTACACTTATTCATTGCATTTTTTGAAATAACTAGTGCAATTAATCTACAGTTTTTATCAACAAAAAAGTCTATTTATTCTCTAAACTATTTTAAATCCTCAATATATAAGCTCGATCTTGTAGCTCTGTCAATTTTAAATTAGTTTTTAATGTCATATATACGCGTGTCTAATTGTAGTTGTGTTTGTATATCAATTATCTTTCTTCGTCTACGCTGTTCAATCTGTTTGCATTGTCACTTTTCCTTGTCGGATAAAGTATATATATATATAAAACAGGCTTCTGACAGATTTAGAAAAGCTTTGGCTTTGTAGGTTTCTAGGGGCAACAAGTTGAGGAACCAAAAATGATGAACACTCGATGAAGCGATTGGAGCATTTTCTTCCAAAGAAACCCATTTCGGTGTCAATATAAAAAGAGCATAAAAAGCTAAATCTTATTTGGCTAAAGTACTATGGGATACCATTATTCATTTCACTTTTTAGAAATAATTAGTGCAATTAATCTACAGTTTTCACCAATAAAAAGTCTATTTATTCTGTAAAAGAGGCTTTTGACAGAAATTTAGAAAACCTTCGGTTTTGTAGATTTCTAGGGGGCAACAAATTGTGCAACCAAAAATGATGAACACTCGATGAAGCGATTTGAGCATTTTCTTCCAAAGAAACCCACTTTGGTATCAATATAAAAACGATAGAGCATAAAAAGTTAGGCATGTAGCCAAATTTTCAGCTAGATCTAATCAATTTACAACAACAAATTGAGGAACCAAAAAGGATGAACACTCGATGAAGCGATTGGAGCTTTTTCATCCAAATAAACCTATTTTAATGCCAAAAAAAGAGAGCATAACAAGTTAGGTAAATAGCCAAAAAAAGCCTAAGAATATCATCTTAAAGCTCTCACAAAATACTACAAAAAACTAATTGGGATCGGCTTATTTGAATGCGATCTAACGGGAGAAAAATGAGAAAACATTGACCGGTCAAGACTTTTTCGACTTTTTTCGAAGTCGGTAAGCGGACATTTCTTGTAAAAGATAGAAATTATTCATAATTGACATGTTTGCCGGCAAAAGAAAGTCAAAGACAATGATAAAAAAAGCAAAAAAAGCTGGGTGCTAAAGTGATTTTTGGAAAAATTTAAAGCTTTTCTTTTTTCTTATTTTCTATGCAGATTTGATGTTAATACACGTTTTAGCGTTCAGAAATGAAATATTTTTCTAATTAACATCATTTGTCAAAGTTCTAAAAACTTGACTATTGCAAAAATTATGGGTACGTCTATGCTTCTGTGGAGCACTATGAAAATATGGAAAGCAAAAGGCGCGTCGCTTTATGGCCACAAACGTGGGCCACAATGTTCAAAAGTTAGTCAGTCTTTCGGTTGCACAAACAGCACGAAATAGAAAAAGGGTACTGTATTTTTTGACCCCCTTTCAAATGGGTCTTCTATTAGAGTGTTTACGGTACCCCTTATCCAGAAATACACCGCTCGAGGCGATGATCCGGAAAAACGCCGATCAAGTGTTCACGCCGCACGATCTTCACGCCACTCTCATCGATATTGTTCGGGTAATGCAACTCGTTTGTTTTCTGTTTTAGTTTTAAAGAAAGCAAAAAGATCTTCAGATCGTGCTTTTTAGCTACTCAGAAATTCTGAACACCAGGCCGCTTGCAATTAATTTATTCTAGAATCAAGCCCAATTTGGCTTTCGAGACACAAATTACTTGCGAATCAATGGTGAGCCTCGTTGTTTTGTGAGTGAGAGAGCTACAACTAAAAATTGATTATTTCAATATACATAATAACGTATAAATAGGTATAGAATATTTAAAAACTTCAATAGACGGGCTCCCTACCCCTTACCAGTCTAATTTGTGTCAAAGTTTTTCAAAAATGTCTTAGCTATTGTTTTTTTTCTGTTTTAAATAAATATAGGGATTTTTACGTATAGAAAAGGCAATAAAAATAGCTAAAATGTGCAAAGTTAAAGGACAGAGTGTCTGATGCAAAAGTTCTGCTATGTACAGTTTATTCTACGTACAGTTTATTCTACGCACAGTTTATTCTATGTACAGTTTATCCTACGTACAGTTTATCCTACGTACAGTTTATCCTACGTACAGTTTATCCTACGTACAGTTTATCCTACGTACAGTTTATTCTACGTACAGTTTACGCCTCTATTCAAAATTTAGACAAAATTCATTCAAAAAAAGTTTAAGCTTTTAACTGACCGCCATCGAAGGAAACGGGCTTGGCCTGAAAAGAAACTACATTCTAAAAGTCGATTTGCTCAATGGCTAGACCCTATGTACCGGTAATGACTTAGGAACAGAGCAGATAACAGCTCTCATATTTACAAGGGAAGATCAACTGGCTGAGACGGCCAAATGACATGCAACCTGTACCATTCGAAGCAGAATTTCACGCTGATTCAGAATCTGCTTTCCGTTTTACATACTAGACCACAGCCTACTAGAAACGAGGCCGCGCAAAAGGTTTTTACAAGGTAAAGTCGGCTGGCTAAGGCGGTCAAATACTATGTGAGTAATATCATTCGACGCAGAATTTTATGCTGATTTCGAATCTGCTTTCCGTTTTTGCTGAACGCTATACTGGAAAAAGTTATAAACGTTTAAAGTTTTGTTAGGACTTTGAAAATCTGGGTTTTTCGGTCTTAGGGGCCTTCTGCGCGGCCTCGTTTCTAGTAGGCTGTGGTCTAGTTCTAGGCTGTGGTCTAGTTCTATGCTGTGGTCTAGTTCTAGGCTGTGGTCTAGTCTTAAAATTGTCTATGACAGGCTTTATTGAGTTTAAAATCATCAGGGTCTTGCAAGAGTGCATGTTGGTTATTTTGTATTTTCAAATATTTTGTCGACTAGCTCAAGTTTCCTTTGATAATATTCGTTGTGAGTTCAGAGAAAATTGATCAGAAATTTGTCCTCATTTGAAAGAGGTGACTCAAGTCTATCAAATGAGCTCAAATATTCTAATTTTATTTACAGACTTCAACTGATTATTGAAAGAATAGATATGAGTAGGCAACTGTACGATCAAAAGTTCAAAAGTCAATCTACTCACACAAGTTGGCCAAGCGAAAAAATAAACAAAGTGCAGAGAGAAAAAAGAAAAGTGGTAAAGGGCCTTTTGACCCTTTTTCCTTCGCAAACAACTTCGGCACATCAAAAATAAACTAGAGTTTTCCCTCTCTATTCCACCAGAAATTGTCATGATTTTTTGAGGAAAATTCCATTGATTTATGCCCTTCTCTTTATCTTTTCGCTTCTTGTGCTTTCTAGTTTAGAGTTTTTTCTTTTCATTTTCTTGAAATTTGAAACCCTCCGTTATCTTGAAATTTCTGGACCAAATTCAACCAAAAGGTCCGAAATGAAAAACATTTTTTTAGAAATTTTTTGAACCTTATTTTCTTAGTTTTTCATTGCAACAGTTTTTGGTCTCCCTTTTCAAAAACTTTTAAATGTTTTTAGTTTTTAGTTATCACCAGTTTTTTCTCGTTTAGTCATGGGTTTGTTGGTGGAAGGACGGTGGACAGACGACAAAGATGCCCCAAAAGGAATCAAAATGACAGTTTGTTGTTTAAAAGATTTTAAAAAGTGAAAAAACCCGACTTGAAAAACAAAAAGGAAAAAAACCGAACCGTTCAGCCATTCAACAACTGGGTGACCGTCGATGGACAACCCGGGTCAACGGGAGAAGGAGGATTCGTCGCTGAAAAAGATCGGTCTGTTTTAATCTAAAATCCTTTAATCTAAAGTCCTTTAATCAGAAATCAAGTAATAAAGTGCGATAAAAAAAACGAAAAACTATTGGGTTGATGCATAATTATCCGGACTTCTTTTATAAATGATTTTATTTAACAAAAAATAACATAAATAGTTAGAAAAATATGTTTAATTGATTATTCTGGAGCATATTCACCGCCTACATCAATAACTGATTGCCATTTGCTTGGAAGACGATCGATTCCACGAGCGAAGAATAAACGATCTTTGGAGGCAATCCACGCTTTAACATCGTCTATCAAGTCATCCAAATCGTTGTAGATCTTATTTGTTTGCCAATTTTTGAGCGATCGATTGACGTGGTAGTCCGTTGGGGCTTCTCCAGTTCTTTGAGATCGCGAAACGACTCTGCGGCAGACCATCCCTTTTCGAAGTGGTAGAGCATGATATGGCGAAGATGGATATGATTGTCGACACGCATTTTGTTCACTAAAGAATAACGAATATTTAAAAAAAAGAAATAGACAAAAAGCTTTCAAAACAAAAAAGATACAAGCACGCAAAAAGAAGTCCGGATAATTATGCATCAACCCAATACCTTTTCTGATGTCAATTGTTAGTTTTTCATTAGAATTTCTCTAAATCTTTTCTTGTTTTTTGAATTTCTTGTCACTTTCGTTATTTAGAAATTCTCCAAAGTTCGCGGAATTTCTCTTCTCTTTCAAGATCATATGCAAACATCAACATAAATTCTTTTCTCCATTCTATTTCTTAAATCGCGCCTCTTTATGATTTTTTTTATCTCTAGCTCCTTGTTCTCTAAACGACTAGACCTGTATATATGTCATAGCCGATCTGCTATTTCAGCCGATCTGCTATTTCAGCCGATCTGCTATTTCAGCCGATCTGCTACTTCAGCTGATCTGCTATTTTAGCCGACTTGCTATCAAAACTTTTCGCTAGCCGATTTACTATTGCGGCTAGCCGCAACGATACCCCTTTAACGTCCAGGAGGTATTTTGAGGACCAGAATACCCCTTTAACGCACTCGCGACCAAAACCTCTTGGGCGTATAGTCGTGTAGTCCTAGCTATTTGTTCCCCAATCAATTAAAAGTTTACAGATAAAATTAGACTATTTGCGCTCTTTGACAGCTTTGAGTCTCCTCTTTTAAATGAATGCAAACTTCGGAGCAATCTCTGTTGAACCCATAGCAAAAATCATGAAAAACAGAATATTCGTTATTGGAACGATCCGCCGGTGGCGTGTTAAAGCTACTTTCGATTTATTCATTCAGATATCATCTGTATGTCTCGTACGGATGCCCTTACGCTCATCGCACGCTGATTCTATTGAAGCTAAAGGTGATAAAATGAAATTAACGCAAATATTGGGTTCTTGCAGTGAAAATGGGATACTTTTCAAATCTACATTTATTCAATAAGAAATCGGAAAATTATTCCAAATAATTTCCATTATTATTAACAACTTGTGTCCATTTTACAGTCAATTTACGAATTCCTTTTTCTTCGTAAAATTTTATTTTCTATGAGAGACAAGTGTGAGACTCAAAAATCGAGGACTGAAGATGCCACAGTTTGAGCACTTTCTTCAAAAGAAACCCATTTTGATGTCAATGGAAAAGTTGTAGAGAATCAAAAATTAGGCTTATAGCCAAATTTCCAAAAAGAAACACTTAGTAGTTTCGCTTAAAATGCAAGTTTTGTGAAAATTCGTAAATTTGGCATTTCTTGAAAACCCGTTTTTGAATCGTTCTGGAAATTTGGCTATAAGCCTAATTTTTGATTCTCTACAACTTTTCCATTGACACCAAAAAGGGTTTCTTTTGAAGAAGGTACTCAAACTGTGGCATGTTGCGAAATAGCGTCCCATTTTCAATGCAAAGACCCAATTGCAACGGGTTCAGGGACTCGAGGACCTTTTGAGCGTGTCAGTGGTCAGTCCGATGATGCTTGAGAATGGATGGACATTTGATGAGACTTATCCAGGTGTGATATAAGCTCTTTCCCCAAAAAGAAACTTGGCTTTATCCCGATAACGGCCCTCTTTCAAAAAATGATTAACTTTCAACTGAAAAAAAATCAACTTTTAATTGTTCAATTGGGCAACTTTTTGTACCAATAGATTGTGCTTGAATTCGGCTATTAAATCAAATAAAAAGCTTCGTTGGACAAGAGTAGTTGAGATTTTTGAGTTGAAATCGCGCGAAAAAGTGATTTCGATAGGTTTTTAATGGGAAATGTGTCGTTTTGAACGGGCGTAACTCGGATTTTTGAAGTTGACACACTATAGTATGGACTTTCTACCGTAACCAAACAACAAAAAACGGAAAGTCTATAAAGGGGGAGCCACTTTTTGACTAGAGAAATACACTTTTCTTCTCCTTTGTTGAAATTTTCCTCTTTCTTGTTTGACTTTTCTTACTCCTACGTGGTATTCCTGAACAAAAAACCCAAATTAATTAAACTCATAGAAAAATTTTAAAAAAGGAAAAGAAAAGTGTATTTCTCTAGTCAAAAAGTGGCTCCTTTTTGTAGTTTTTCCGTTTTTTGTTGTTTGATTACGGTAGAAAGTCCATACTATAATGTGTCAACTTCAAAAATTCGAGTTGCACCCGTTCAAAACGCTACCAGTTTGTGCAAACTTGATCAATCTCTATAATTTTTGCACAAAAAACATTCTCAAGATATATGCAAATAAAACTTGTTGCTTTGTTTTGCATTTTTCTCCTGATAATAGCAATTTATAGCGCTCGAAACCCAAAATATTGGGTTGTCCAGTTATGAATGCGCGTTTTTTACTATTTTGCAAATTTCTCAAGATATCGAACAGAGTATTTGAGTGTTATATATCATTCGAAAGCTGAAGATCTCCTCTACATTTTGATATAAAAAGCTTTTTGAATTTGTTCAGCTTTTTGGGCAAATTGGCTGCACAGAAGAAGAGGTGGCCAAAAATGGAAGGGTGCCTTGGATCAAGTTTTGACTCCGCTCAAATTGAGTTAACCGTTTGATGTTTGGCCAATAGATATATCAATACAAGCTTTTTTAAAATATAACAATTTCGGAGCATCTTTACTTTTCTTTTCTTTTCTGGGCGGTTATTTTACACCATAAAACTTGAGGAATAGCTCAGCTGGAATGGGGTTTTTTCGAAAACGACCTCTTCTTCTGTGCAGTCAATTTGCCCAAAAGCTGAACAAATTCAAAAGCTTTTATATCAAAATGTAGAGGAGATCTTCAGCTTTGAATGATATATAACACTCAAATACATCTGTTCGATATCTTGAGAAATTTGAGAAAGAAAACGCGCATTCATAACTGGACAACCCAATAGATCATTATTACATGGGAAAAGCAAAAAACTGAATTTTTTAAAGATGGAGTCAAACGGATTTCAAAAAAAATTTTCGTATTTGAAATCAGGGTGCTTTTTTTACGTCGACTGATATCTTTTTTTGTTAAAAATCTATAAAAATCACTTTTTCATTAATGTATCACGCGGATCTAGGTGGCGTTATCATAGAGCCAAAAAATTTACATTTGTTGCTCCGTTTCTGACTTTCATTTACTGCCAACATTTCAGATGCAACCGTCGACCACCTCTACGGCTTTCAGTTCCTATACCAAGTCTACTTAAAGGTTTTTGATTTCAAAATAATAATAAATCACATCTATGTTCACAGTCCGATCCAAAATGCACGACCCGGGTCTCGGTGCCGGTGCTTTGGGACAAGAAACAGCACAAATTGGTGAGCACCGAGAGTGCCGACATCATTCGAATGTGAGAATGTGAATCGTTAATCCAATTATCTTCATGAAATAGGTTTCAAATTCGAAAATTTCAGGCTCAATTCGGCTTTCGATGGGCTTGGCGCAAATACAGGGGATTTCTACCCAAAAGAATTGCATACAAAGATCGATGAAGTGAACGAATGGGTCAATGATACTGTCGTCACCGGTAGGTTGTTTCTCCAAGCCAAAAAGCCATGGAGCTAAGAGCAAGCCAAAAGCAAGCCAAGCCGAAGCAATGACCTTCTCTTGGTTTTGGCCTGGTTTTTGGGGCGGGCCAATGAAAAGCAATGGAGCTAAGTTTTGTTTGTAATCAAAGAACGTCAATTCACAGGCGTCTACAAAGCCGGATATGCGCTGACTCAAGAGGGATACGACTTGGCTGTGGGAAAACTCTTCGACTCGCTGGAACGCTTAGAGAAAATTCTCGGTTGGCATTAGAAAAACATAGCAAACATCTTTTTTCCCATGCAAATTAACTTTTTGGTAGGATTGGTAGGATGTTGTTATCTTGAAGAATCTGAATACATAACAAAGTGCTTTTTTCTCAGAGAACCAGCGCTATCTGGCGGGGGAGAGTCTTTCCGACGCGGACATCCGTTTGTGGGTGACACTGGTGAGTAGAAAAAAAGGAATCCCGGGGAAAACAGAGAAAATCAATAGATTCGATTCGATGCTGTCTACTCGATCTATTTAAAATGCAGCAAGAAACGCATCTTGGACTACCCGAATCTTCACGGTTATCTCAGGTGAGTGACCAGGAGATCGGCGAGTACAACAGGGGGACGAATAATAAAATTTTGATAATTTATTGATTAAAGTTGGGTTTTTTGCTTTAATTTCAACGGAGATCGCACTGTTGGACTACCGTATTTCCCTCTAAATGACATTATTTTTTCAAAGACCTCAAAATGGTGGGACAATATTAGAGGTGGGGCACTAGTAGAGGTAGGCCATCTGAAATGGCGAGTCTGGGCTTCGACCACTGGTCTGACTAAGACTGCTGGTCTGATTGGTTAGCCCAGATTTGTCCAGAATGGTTAATGTTCTGGGCTCAGACTGGGTCATCTAAAAGATAAGTCTAGGTGCAGACTGCAGATTGATTAAAGTTGCTTTTTACTTCAATTTCAATAGAAATCGCACTGTTGGACTACGGTATTTCCTCTAAATGACATTATTTTTTCAAAGACCTCAAAAGGGTGGGACAATATTAGAGGTCTGAATTTAAACTGTTAGGGGTGGGACACAAATAAAGATGGGGCATTATTAAAGGAAATACAGTATATTCTAGGGATATTTACCAACATCCGGGCATCGCTGAGACGACAAATTTCAATCACATCAAGGCTCTCTACTTCCGCTGTGGCAAAACGTTGAATCCGTCGGGTAGGAGTTCACTCATCGAAAAACATTTTGCTTAGAACGCAATCATTTGGTTCATAACTTTTATTTCTAAAAATGAGAAAATGTTTAGGCAAAAAGTAAAGTAAAGCACCGTATTTATTCTAATTGAAGCTCAGTCTCTAATACAAGGTGTCCCAAAATTATCCGGACAAAGTGTTTTGAATGTAACTTCTCACATCGTTAAACAATTTTCCTACTTTCTTTAATTCTCTAAATAATTATAGTAGTCTTAAAGTCAAAAACTAACAGAAACTTAAGCTTATTTTTCAGTTACGAGAGTATCTAAAAAGTTTTTAATTCAAAGCTTGGTGATCGTCTAATCGACGTCTAAAACTATATTCCAGTTCCGAAAGGGAACAGCTCACTACTTGTTTCACCTCATTTACTTTTAAATCGCTCAGTCGTTCAAGAAAAATCAAACTTAACTGATTTAACAAACTTTCAGCTGTAAATTTTAGCCATAAAAAGGCTGCGCGCCGAGGGCGCCAAGATTGCTTGCTTTGGGGATTTGAAGCTGCATTGGAAGGCCCCTCTCGACTTTCTGATCAAAAGAAATTAGTTTATTGTTGAAAATGTTGCAAAATTTTGTGAAAAAAGAAGAAAGTAGGGATTGTTCAACTGCACGGAGAGTTGCACCCAAAAAACTTTGCCCGGATAATTTTGGAACACCCTGTAGAAGCCACAAATTTTAAAAAAGCATCACTTTGCTACCGTACACTATTTCATTTATTTTTCTTGCAAAGCGCCTCTAGAATCCTCATTATTTTTACGTTTATTAAACTTTTTTCTGCTTTCTTTGTTTTTTTTATAAAATTGCTAATATGTTTATTTTTGGGTGTGATGGCTGAGCGACCAACAATTTGTTTGGATTCTCTCGAAGAATATCGAGCTCTACAAGAACACACCGAACACGAGGATTTCTTCAGGGAACAACAGAAAGCAAGTGAATTGATGAATAGAAAGCCGGAGCCGGAAAACGATTACTCAAATTCTCTCGATGACGCAAATGAATTGATGAAAAGCTCATTGTTGTTCGATGAACCGGAAATGAGAAGACGAAGATCTCAGTGGTGCTGACGGCTTGAGTATATAGCCTCAAATGCAAGCCTTTTGTTCTTTTACCAAGGAAACGAGTCGACCCGGCCATTCAACAGCGATTTGGTAGCAAGTTGAATCTTCTATGGGAAGGATGAATGAGGATTTAACGGCTGTTTTTCTCAAGAGGTCATTCCAGAAGGAGCTGTCAAATTGTGTCAGGCTTAGAACGAGGCGAAGATCGCTCACTTGTTGAAGGAAATCGATCTTGGCGAAGATGAGGAGATCAAGTGCGACGACAGTGATGTCTCTATTGAAGTAGGCAATGTTAACGAAAATGATGTCGATAATAATGATTTAAATGATATGTTTGCTTAAAAATGTTTTTCACTCTGTTAATTGATTGTTGCCTATTTTTAAATGTTGTTTTACTTGAATGAATAAATCATAAATTGTTATTATTTGTAAGTGATAACTTCTAGTAAGCTATTTGATCAATTTTGTTGGAAAGGTTGGAAAATAGAAGCAATTTTAGGAAGGGGGTTGAAAAATTGAAGCACATGTGCTTCTTATTAGAAGAAATTCGTTAACTTTAGGCATCGTTCCAATAGGACCCGATATGCGACTCGATGTGCCACACGGAAGAAATAAGTAGATTTTTGGTACTTAACGCTGAATAAATCTCTCATTTTGCACTATAATTCAGGAAAAACACATTCGAATCTCAAATTATAACGTAATGTTCAAAGTTTCTAATAAAATTTAATGCAACGTCCTAGATGCTATGAAATTTGTTTAGTTTTATCTGTTTCTGAGCGGAAAGCAAGAAAAATACTTTTTATTGCTCTCGAAAAATCTCCATTTTATTTGGGGGCATTTCGCGAGGCACCAATCGAGAAAACCGATGGCTGTTTTCAGGGCAAAAGCGGCAAATTCTGGATTCTTTTCAAGTTGCTCGGTCAACTCGGTGCAAGCATCATCTGGTTTTAGAATCTTCTGTGACTCTGTGCTTTGATGGAGAAAGTTTTTATTATGGCCAAAGATTTTTTGGAAATGAATTCATTATTAGTGACACTGCATAGGCATTTTGAAAGAAGATTTTGAAAGACTTTTGAAAAACGTTTTTTTCGCATAAGACTTTCGAAAGGGAAAGTATAAACGTTTGAAGCCAGGAACTTTATATATCTAGCTGAATTTATAGCAGGCTCAGGACCACATTCTGTTTGTTGATTGGTCTCAATTTCTATGAAATTCGGTTTCAAAACCTCAAAAATGTGAACTAACTTTTCACATCTATTGTCCAATCAGGCTGTTTTTGGTAACACTAGGTCGTACTTGATGTTATCTATCAATTGAAACTGATTTGAAACAATTTCCTAAATTTGTAGCTTTTAGACTTGCCATAGATTTACTCAAATTCTAAATGAAAAAGATTCCAAATGGTGCTCACCTAAATTCTCTTTTACTCGAAATAACGATAAAATGATTACTCTCGATACAATGATTTACTCGATATAACAATTCAAAACCTCGATCCTAGCCAAGCTTTTAATAAAATCTTAAGGGTACTTCTTAAAGGGAGATGCGGATCGAGGACCAATTTTCAACAAAATCTTTTTTTCCCTAAATTTGACTATGTTTTGATTTAACAAAAACAATTTTCATGCCTGTTAGGGTAATTTTTAAGGTTCAATTTTTTGAAAACATCGTTTCAGCAAAGGTTTTCATACAAAAACCCTCTTTTTCTTTAAGTCTAACAGATCTGACTCCTGATAGAAGAAGAGCTCTTCTTCGTTCTCCCGTCTCTAAACCTAAAATTTTTTAAAATTTCTTTCTACAAAAAGTATTAGGCTTTGGAGTTCCCTTTCCGACCATGTTCAAAAAATGAAGTCCCTCTTTCCTTCAAACAGTAACCTTCTTACTCTCACGCTTTTAACCGATGCTTTGATCCCTCTTTAAAGTCAGCTTCAAAAGTCAGAGTCAAAAAGACGGGCTTACTGTTTGCAAGACGTGATCAATGGGGGTGTTCATTGTTTGTCAATTGAGAAAAGGATGGCTAGGAGACTCGAACTTACTGTTCTTTGGTTCCTTTGAAAGTGGAAGTCAAATTGTGTAAATAATCGCCTGAAGATAGGTACTAACTCTCTAGAAAAGACCTATATAAAGCCCGGAAACCCTTCCGCTCTTTAGAAAACTAAAAAAATGTGGGCGATTTCTCTGACTCTTCTCTTCGCTTTATCCGTTCAGTTGGCGACCGCTCATCAGACGGAAAACACAATTACGGTATGATTTTAGTCTTATAATAAGTACAATCCATAAAAATCTGATAAATCCAAACGACTTTTCGATTAAAAAACTTTAGTCATGATTTTTAAGGGCTCAGAGCAATCATTTGCAATCACATTAAATCTGTTTTTGATTTCAAAAAAAGTGACAACAGAGCTAAACAAAGACATTTGTTCAGCCAACAAAATGCGGAAAATCGCAACGTTGTTTCGGTAATAATTTTATAGAGTAGAACAACACATGGTTGATAGATTTTGACACATTTTTCTAACAAACGAGGGTCAACTGGATAAACTAGCCAAATGACATAAGCCATATAATATTCGATGCAGAATTTTACGCCGAATCTAATGCTGATATGCGTTTTTGCTAAACGCCACTCTGTCAAAAGTTATAAGCGTGCAAAATTTTGCAAGAAGTTTCAAAAATCTAGCATAGACTTTAAAACCGAACTCTTCAGATAAGGCAAAAAGTGCTGTGGTGGCCGAGTGGTAGTGCGTTACTTTTTTTGGGTTTGAATCGCTTATGTGTTCTCCGCTTCAAATTCGCTTTTTTACCCATTTCTTTACAAAAAAATCCATTTAAAAAAATAGTTATTTAAATTTAAACCAAAAAGAAAAACAAAACAATCCGTTGACGGATTCGAACCGCCACGGTTTCTATTCTAACTTGTTACCACTTGACCACCCTTACACTTTTTCGTTGTCTTCGTTGTCGGTTTCAAGGTCCATGCATTTTTGAAACTCGATACGAAACTTTCAAAGCTTATAATTTTTGACAGAGTGTTCAGCAAGAACGGAAAGGAGCATCGTGTTCGGCGTGAAATTCTGCTTTAAGTTAAGTCAAGAAAGTTCAATTTTAGCGATATCAAACAAGATTTTTACAGGATATAAGCTCGGTGTCCTTTTTTGCTTTGCTTTGCTTTTTACAGGATATAAGCTCAAAATCGAGGAAAATACTATATTTTTCAACAGGATAATGCTTCAATTCTTGTCAGCCAATCCACTAAAGCTTTTCTGGGAACGTCACAACATCGATTATCTCGAATGACGGCTTCAAAACTAATTTTTTTTTGCAATTTGTTCAAATAACATCGAAAATGGTATATATGCCTATTTTTGTTTATATTTCCTAGGATTTAAAGCTATTTCGCGTTATTAAATTTCATAGCCATAAAAATTTAGGGGTGGTCCTATCATCTTGCAACGCACCTTACATCAAGGCCCTGCCCTGGCTATAGTACCATTTTAAGTAGCTTTTAAACTCTTCACTTGAAGTAATTAGTTACCATTTCCCCCAGGCTTACGATAGGCACTAACCGATTCCATCTAACCGTCGAAATGTTGAGGATGATCCCTCCGAAAAATGTGTCCCGTCCTTTCCAGCATAGAATCCGCGTCGCCGATCTAAAGTAAATGACCCTTTGATTAAAATGCATGATCTAGAATCTGACCTAAAAGCTGGGGTTATGAAAAGGCACCGTAATCCCTAAGATCTGATGTTCCTGGCATTGTCACTTTTTTCTTATTCTTGATTTCCAGAATTTGTGGGATAAAAAGATGGCAATTCACCCTTCTTAATTTTACCCTCATCCTTAAGTACGGTATCGTTTTGCCTAAACTCCAACGGTCAACCTGTCTATTATCAGGTGAAAAGTAATTGATGGTAAACGGGAATACAACTAAATTCTTTACAAACTCTATGACACGTTTGGCTTCAACTACCTTCGCTTCTTTGCCAAAAATGTGCCTGTCGAAATTTGAGGTTGTGAGTGCGAGATTTTATTTTTGATGTTTTATCGTGATATGTGAATCGATTTTGGGCTTCTTTATTTTTCAGTGTTGAAATTTTGCAGCAAATTGTTGTTTTCTGGATGATGTTATACATACCTGTGTGTTGTATTTTCGTTTGCAAACGTGTTTTTTTGTTTTTGAACTAAAGATACAATAATTTATTAAAGTGTTTACAAAGCAAAATCACGCAGCCAAATTACACTAAAAATAGGTTGAGAAACATTTTTGCACAGAACAAAAGAGTAGCACAGAAAAACCTCGTAAAGAGAAAGTTCAATTAGGGTAGCTGAGAGTTTTGGATGCTGTTAATTCTCGATTGTTCCTGTTTCCTTTTGTTGTCCAGTAATTTGAATAAGAATCTCTTGCCCGTTCAGCTGTTTCTTCTTTTCAATCAATGGGGCATGAATTGAGATTTCCATTTTGATCAGTGATGATTGAGTGACGAGAGATCTCGATTTGATCCACGGGAATTCGAATGGAACGTTGCAGACGGAGGTGGACGGAGCCCTGAAATATGTGGGGTTGAATGGGGTGAAGAAAGGAACGCTTTTCGAGAATAACTAGCATCAAATTTATAGTTAAGCATTAAGATTAAGATTCTTCAATTTGAATCGACTATATTTGTAATTAACTTTAATTTTTCACCTGCTCATTCTCCTCTTTGTGTATCTCCTTCAATCGACAAAAACATCCCCGTCCAATCCGCAATTTCAATTCATCGGGTTTATACGAGGAGACATCACATTTCACGGAGAAACCCTCATCACTCAGCGAAATCTAAAAGTGAGTTCTGGTATTGAAAGAGTTAAGCTACCTTATTGGCTACTTACGATTTCAAAAGTCTATGACGAGTTAACAAACAAATTTGCCTTAAAAGGTACCATTTCTTGTTGCTGAAGGTCTCGATGGATTGTTGGTCCATCGAAAGCCCTTTCCAATGAATTGATCGTTTCGAAGATATCCATTGAGAGGATATCTGAGCAGCTGAATGGCCGACAGGAAATTATTCGAGGAAAAAGAAGAAGTGACATTTGGAAGTGAAGGTATTAGTTGTTGATAGCAAGATGTGTTGATTTGAGTTGATGACCGCTGGAGTGAACCGTCGGTTTATATAGGATTCGATGGGGCTTCAGGAGGTTCTCGAAATTCTGAAACGGAGTCGACACTTGTTTTCCCCTTTCCTCTTTTGCCTCTTTCGAAAAGAACCTTTCTCCAGGTCTCTCTCAATCCACTCGATATTCTCATCTTTCTGCCAGCCCTTTCTTGTGGTCTTTTAGCCAAAACCATGGAACAAAGAGTAAGGCCATAATGCGGCACCAAGAGCTGGTAAACATCGTTCAGCTCAATTCTACTGCGATCTCCTCTCACCACTTTCAACGGCGACAAAGAAAAAGCCACGATTGCACTAAAGTCAATACAGTGCGCTTCTCATCAGTTACTTCAAATAGCAATCAAATGGACCATCAGGAGAAACATACTCTTAACCCTTCTCTGGATTAGCTACAGTTCAGAGAGACGAAGAGAATGATCAGACTCAGAACGATATTGACACCCAGACCATAAACTCGTATTT